GCAAAAAAATGAAACTAGACCATCAACTTACACCATACACAAGAATAAACTCAAAATGGACAAAAGACTTAAAAGTGACTCATGAATCCATAAAAATCCTAGAAAAAAATGTAGGCAACAAAATTTCAGACATCATATGCAGCATAATTTTGACTGATACATCACCTAAGGCAACAGAAACAAAGGAGAAAATGAACACATGGGACTACATCAAACTAAAAAGCTTCTGCACAGCAAAAGATACAATCATCGCCCTGGCTGGTTTGGCTCAGCAATTAGAACATCGGCCTGTGGTCCCGAGAGATCCGGGTTTGGTTCCCGCTAAGGGCATGTATGTACCTCAGCTGCAGTTTGTCCCTGGCCCTGGTTGGGTTGTGCGGGTGGCAACTACTCGATGTGTTCCTTTCACATAGATGTTTCTCTCTCTCTCTCTCTCCCTCCCACTCTATCTGAACAAAGTATCAAAAAATGTTCTCGGGTGAGGATAAAAAAATATATATATACAATCATCAAAATGGAAAGGCAATCCACTGTATGGGAGAGCATAATTGCCAATGATACATCAGTTAAGGGGTTAATTTCCAATATATAGAGAGTGCTCATAGAACTCAACAAAAGGAAGACAACAAACCCAATTAAAAAATGGGCAGAGGAACTAAACCTCTCCAAACAGGACATACAAATGGCTAAGAGACATATGAAGAAATGCTCAACATCACTAATCATCAGAGAGATACAAATTAAAACAACAATGAGGTATCACCTCACACCTGTCAGAATGGCTGCCATCAACAAATCATCAAACAACAAGTGTTGGCGAGGGTGTGGAGAAAAGGTGTCTCTAGTACACTGCTGGTGGGAATGCAGACTGGTGCAGCCACTATGAAAAACAATACGGTATTACCTCAAAAAATTAAAAATTGGCCCTGGCTGGTTTGGCTCAGCGGTTGGAGCGTTGGCCTGAGGTCCAGAGAGACCCGGGTTCAGTTCCCGCTAAGGGCATGTACCTCGGTTGCAGTTTGTCCCCGGCCCTGGTTGGGTCGTGCGGGTGGCAGCCACTCGATGTGTCCTTTTCATGTCGATGGTTCTCTCTCTCTCTCCCTCTCTCTCCCTCCCACTCTATCTGAATAAAAAATGGAAAAATGTCCTCGGGTGAGGATAAAATAAATTAATTAATTAATTAATTAAAAATTGAACTTCCATTTGACCCAGTGATCTCACTTCTAGGAATATACCCTAAGAAGCCTGAAATACCAATCAGAAAGAATGTATGTATCCCATGTTCGTAGCAGCACTATTTACAATAGTTAAGATCTGGAAACAGCCCAAATGTCCATCAGTAGAGGAATGAATAAAAAAGCTGTGGTACGCCCTGGCCAGTTTGGCTCAACGGTTAGAGCGTCGGTCTGTGGTCCAGAGAGACCCGGGTTCAGTTCCTGCTAAGGGCGCATACCTCGGTTGCAGTTTGTCCCCGGCCCTGGTTGGTCGTGCGGATGGCAGCCACTCGATGTGTCCCTTTCAAGTTGATGTTTCTCTCTCTCTCTCTCTCTCTCTCTCTCTCTCTCTCTCTCTCTCTCCCCCTCCCACTCTATCTGAGCAAAAAATGAAAAAATGTCCTCGGGTGAGAAAAAAAAAGCTGTGGTACATATACACAATGGAGTACTATGCAGCTGTAAGAAAGATCTCTTATCCTTTGAGACGACATAGAGGGACCTAGAAAGTATTATCCTAAGCGAAACAAGCCAAACAGAGAAAGACAAGTATCATATGATCTCACTTATTTGTGGAATATAATGAACATAACAGTCTGAGGAATGGGGTAATCCCAGAGACGTGGAAGTGGGGTACAGACTGACAATCCCCAGAAGAGAGGGTGGTGGGGGAGAGATAAAACACAGAACTTATATGCATGTATGCATGAACAATGGACATGGACAACAAAGCTGGAGACAGGGCAGGGAAGGAGGAGGAGGGGGGAATCAGTGGGTGAAAAAGAAACATCTGTAACAAAAATTAATTAATTATAATAAAAAATAAAATAAAAGGTCAGACGAGATAAAAAAAAGATTTTGGATGCTGCCCTGGCCGGTTTTGCTCAGCGGCTAGAGCATCAGCCTGCGGTCCAGAGAGACCCGGGTTCGGTTCCCACTAAGTGCACATATCTCGGTTGCACAGTTTGTCCCCAGCCCTGGTTGGGTTGTGCAGTTGGCAGCCACTCGATGTGTCCCTTTCATGTCGATGTTTCTCTCTCTCTCTTCCTCTCTCTCCCTCCCACTCTATCTGAACAAAAAATTGAAAAATATCCTCGGGTAAGGATAAAAAAAAAAAAGATTTTGGATGCTGAGAAAGAAAGAAAAAGAAATTTTTCTACCCAGCACCCAATTTTTGTTTTCTTCAAGAAAGAAAAAGAAATTTTTCTACCCAGAGCCCAATTTTTTTCCTTCTGTTACCAGTCTCTTTTATATAGTTCTTATATTTGTTAACTTTATTATATCTTGACAGTTAAGTATGTACAGCTACACATATTTATCAAGTCACGTCAAATGGTATGTTTAAATGATGATATCGTGTAAAGCTTCAAACTGTTTTTTTAAAACAAAATTAATCCAATCAGTCTCCTTCTGGGCCACAGTTACACAGAATAGTCTATTAATCTGCAGGAGCAGCATCACTGCAGAGCTGGTTAGGTTCACATTCTCTGGTCCTACTCCAGAACCACAATCTCCTGAGGTGGGACCCTGAAATATGGATTTTAATAAGCTCTCCAAGTGTTTCGTATTAACTACAGCTAATGCAAAGATGCACTATCTTAGGGCAATGATTTTAGGTCAGATTGACTTTATATCTTTTTTTTTTTAATCCTCACCTGAGGACATTTTTCCATTTTTTTTGTTCAGATAGAGTGGGAGAGAGAGAGAGGAAGAGAGAGAGAGAAACATCGACGTGAAAGGGACACATCAAGTGGTTGCCCCCCGCACAACCCAACCAGGGCCGGAGACAAACCAACCGAGGTACATGCCCTTAGCAGGAACCGAATCCAGGTCTCTCTGGACCGCAGGCTGATGCTCTAACCGCTGAGCCAAACCGACCAGGGCTATGTCTTAATTTGAACATTATGAAGAACGATAGTCAAGAATACATGGGTCCCCCTGGCTGGTTTTGCTCAGTGGTTAGAGCACTGACCTGAGAACCAAAAAGTTGCAGGTTCGATTCCTGGTCAAGGGTACATACCTAGGGAAAATGTCTGTGGGTGAGGATTAAAAGATAAAAAATAAATAAAAATAGCCCTGGCCGGTTTGGCTCAGCAGTTAGAGCGTCCGCCTGCGGTCCAGAGAGGCCCGGGTTTGGTTTCCACTAAGGGCATGTACCTCGGTTGCAGTTTGTCCCCGGCCCTGGTTGGTCATGCGGGTGGCAGCCACTCGATGTGTCCCTTTCACATCGATGTTTCCCTCTCTCTCTCTTCCTCTCTCTCCCTCCCACTCTGTCTGTACAAAAAATTGAAAAATGTCCTCAGATGAGGATTAAAAAAACAAATAAATAAATAAAAATAAAAGCGCTATGCTTTAAAAAAAATTCATTGGTTAAAAATTCACTTGAAGATTAAATGGCAATTAAGAATATTATTTTCTGCCCTGGCCGGTTTGGCTCAGCGGTTAGAGCGTCCGCCTGCGGTCCGGAGAGACCCGGGTTCGGTTCCCGCTAAGGGCATGTACCTCGGTTGCAGTTTGTCCCCGGCCCTGGTTGGTCGTGCGGGTGGCAGTCACTCGATGTGTCCCTTTCACATCGATGTTTCCCTCTCTCTCTCTCTTCTTCTCTCTCCCTCCCACTCTCTCTGTACAAAAAATGGAAAAATGTCCTCGGGTGAGGATAAAAAAAAAAAAAAAAAAAGAATATTATTTTCTCCCCTTCTCTGAATTTTAATTTCTTTGGAGGCTTCCAGGTAAACAATGACTACTAATTATCTCAATATCATATTAGTCCAAGACCCTAAAGTCAGTTAGCAATTTTAGACAACATAATTAAATAATCATTAAAAAGTAATACAGTCACCGTTAATAATAAGAATCTGACAGAGAAATAGGATCCCTTAAAACTTTACCCAGTTAATATAGTTAGCATAACTCCATAGGCTCATATAATTTTCAATTTTGTCTGAGATTTACAAGGACTAAATTTATAAAGATACCAGTTATTTGAATTATGAGTCAACTTAATTGTACACCCATGTTTACATTTAGAATTCTTAAATATTAGTGTAAATAATAAACTATATGACTCATAAGGCAATTTTAAGGACTTTAGGTGATTTTTTTTTTTTTTTTTTTTTTTATCATCCTCACCCGAGGACATTTTTCCATTTTTTGTTCAGGTAGAGTGGGAGGGAGAGGGAGGAACAAAGAGAGAGAGAAACATCGACGTGAAAGGGACACATCAAGTGGTCGCCACCCGCACGACCAACCAGGGCCGGGGACAAACTGCAACCGAGGTACGTGCCCTTAGCGGGAACCGAACCCGGGTCTCTCCAGACCGCAGGCTGATGCTCTAACCGCTGAGCCAAACCCGCCAGGGCATAGGTGATTCTTTTAATTTAGCCTTTTTATTTAAACCAAATCCAGAGTCTTACATAAATCAAAATGACATATTTGCATGTTTATTTCTCACTGTGGTAAAATCAAGAAGCCTGGCTTATAGCCATCTTTTAAGCCCCAGACTCCCCCCACCGTTTAATTTATCAAAGGGTTTACCTTATTAGGTGTATTAAACTAATTTTGATGAAATTTTGATTTCTTCGATTTAACTTTCTTTTGTTGTTGTTGTTGGCCCGAAGGTGTTTATTGAAAGGGGAGGGCTCCAGTATCCAGCATCAGCTACAACCGAGTTTGGGATGGCCCGGGGTCCCCGTGGATGCCACCGGGAAGAAGGGGGTGTCATCCTCCGGATCTCGGAACACCCGCTTCTCCACGAGCTTCACTTTGAACTTGGCTCTTCCCGGGGCTCGATCATGTTTCTCTAGAAGCTCTTGAACCGATCGCCGAGGACGTTGCCCTCAAGCTTCGGGGTCCGGGGCAGTCAGACAGCTCTGAGCTGAGCCGCACGTCGATGTCGGGGGCCTGGTACCCAGCCCTGGGGCTCGTCGGCCTCGGCCAGCCGCTGTGCCCTCGTCGTGCCCGCCGCTGTGCCACCCGGGCCGGGATGCCACGCAGCCTGAGGGGCTCCCGGGGCCGCAGCCGGCGCCCGCAGCATCGGGCGGCCTTTCTCGCCGACGCTGCTGCCCGGCGGGCGGGTGTGCCTCCCGGGCCTGGTCTCCGCCACCTCAGGCCCCCGTCCTGGCCCTCGCCTGGCCGCTCCCCAGCTGCCTTCCAGCGGCCCGGGCACATCTCAAATGCACATTCCGCCTCCAGCTTCTCCGCCTCCTTCGGCCGCTGCAGCTCGACCGCGTGGGCTTCCCAGAGCAGGGCCTGGGGGGCCTCGAAGGTGGGGTTGCAGGAGGCTCCGGAGGGTGTCCCCTGCTCGGCAGGCACCTGGGACGCGGCGGCCGCTTCGCTCCTTCTCGGTCCGCTCCAGGAAAGGCGCATCCGGGCCACCAGCCGCCGCTCCGGGCTCATCTCTGGCCCGGGGACCGCGGAGGGGCCGCCCCGCGGCGTCCTGGGGCCCAGGTTCGGTTTTGGCCGCAGGAGGGCCGCGCGGCCGGGCCTGCGCCCTGCGCACCTCGGGCAGCTCGCCCCGCTCGGCCACCTTGTCCCGACTGCTCTCCGCTCGGGCTCCTGGGCGTCGGGGCCGGGCGCGGACGGCTTTGGGGGCAGGGCTCCCGCATGTGTTCTCCAAAATGAGGTCGACCCGAAGTGGTTTCTTGAGGAGCAGTGGCCTCTTCTGGCCTTTGGTCCTCTTCTTGTACAGCTGCCTGTCCTTGGAGCCTGTGCCCACGAAGGAGTGTTTCATCGGGGCCTCGGAGATCAAGCCGCCGCCCTGGCTCCTGCGCCATCTTGCTCCCACCCTACTCCCCAAGCTGTTGGAAGGGTTGGGAAGCCCTGGCAGGTGCCGGTGAGCACGGTCCGCAGCAGGTCCGGTCCGTCCTGGCCAGGGTACATCCCTGGGCTTGGGGCTCGACGCCCAGGAGGCAAATGATTGATGTTTCATTAATGTGTCTCTCTCTCTTTCCCTCTCCCTTCCCCTCTCTAAAATCAATAGTACATTTTTTTTTAAACGCTTTCTACAAAATAATTTCTTAAAACCTGTTTTACGACTATCAATTGTTGACTTGATGTCAACTTTCATGTCTTCATTCTTTTGTTTTTTTTTTTAATTTTAGAGAAAGAAAAAGGGAGAGAGAGGGAGAGAAACATCAGTGTGAGAGAGAAATATAGATTGGTTGCCTGCTCAGTATGTACCCCCACAAGGGATTGAACCGGCAACCTGTGTATGTGCCCGGTCCCGGAATTGAACTGGCCACCTTTTGGTGTGCAGGAGGATGCTCCACCAGCTGAGCCACACTGGCCAGGCAGGGCATGTCTTCATTCTTTATCTTCAAGGATACTAGAATCAACGTTAGCTTTTCTCTTTGTTATCTAACAAACTCTTTAGGCAAAGGAATTATATTAGGGAAATACTATTTAAAAAGTTGCCAGTAACTTAGTTGTTTACTTGGTTATTTACACAAAGTTCTAAATTTTTATTAGAGTGTAATCTTTACCTTTTAACCAAAGTTGTACAATTCATTCAGGTCCAATTTAATTTTTTTCACTTGACAAGCACTTTAAAAAAAATTTTTTTTTTTTAAATTCTCACCTGAAGATACTTTTTTAAATTTATCTTCAGATAGAGTGGGAGGAAGAGAGAGGGAGAGAAAGGGAGAGAGAGAAACATCGATGTGAGAGTCACATCCACTGGTTGCCTCCCGCAGGACTCTGACCAGGGCCAGGGAAGAATTACAACCGAGGTGTGTGCCCTTGGCCACAATAGATCCCGGGACTCATTGGTGTGCCGCCCACGCTCTGCCACTGAGCCAAACCGGCCAGGGCAAGCCCTTTTTTTTCCAAAGAGAAAATCACCATAAGATTCAGACTACTAAAGACTAATTTCTTCAAGCTATTTACTACGTTTCTTTAACCAATCAATGTAAATTCAGTCAGTGACACTGAATTTGAGAGCCTTACACCCTTTATTTTCTACACCTCTATGAAGTGTACCTTATTCAAAGGTAATTTCCCAATTTATTCAAAGGTAACCTGAAGAGGAACCAACTTTCCTTTGCCCTGATGATGGTGCACACCAAAGGCTTCCTTACTTGTGCTGTTTCAGAATCTGAAAAGCTACTCTCTCCTGGGACCCAGAATCCTTTTGGATGGTCCCTCCTCATTCTCTCTACTCACATAAGGGAAAATGCATCAGTTAAAAGGAGCACACATGAATAGTTCTCAAGACATACATCTGGTGACAACAGGAAAATTTCAGAATAAGTGCTGAAAAATGCCATTTATATAAATTTAAAGTCATGTAAAACACTGTACTTTGACATTTCTGTGCATGGAATAGTGAAAGAAAGTAGATCAGTGGCTGCCTCAGTGGGGGTGAGAAAACAGTCTGGATTATAAATTTATCCCATGATAACAGCTGCCTCTGAGTGAGGGGAGAACAAGGCAACCGGAGATGTGGAGCCGGACATCTTCCAGCAGCGGAGGGGCCCTGGCCCCATCAGGCTCCTATTGATCCACTGGTCTCACCAAACCCATCCTGGCCCCAGGCAAGGGGATGTAGATGGCTAGCATTAAAAATTGTAGAAACACTTTTTTTTAACACTATCACCATTATATGTTTGTTCTACTCTGCTGTTAACAATTACATAGATAGATTCATATTTAACATATGAATATACAAGCTATAGGTGTCACTGCTCATTATGAAAATGGCTTTGGTGGCCAGGAGGGGGAAAAAACTAAGGTAAAAATATAAAGGAAGCCCTGGCCAGTTTGGCTCAGCAGTTAGAGCATCGGCCTGTGGACTGAAGGGTCTCAGGTCCTATTCCAGGTCAAAAGCCTGTACCTGGTTTGCAGGTTCAATCTCTGGCCCCAGTCTGAGTCCTGTGGGAGGCAACCAATCAATGTGTCTTTCTCACATAGATGTTTTTCTCTCTTGCTCTCTCTAAAAATCAATGGAAAAAATATCTTCAAGGGATTAACAAAAAAAAACCATTACCATTTCTAGGGATCTGATCAAATTCTTACTGTTTCATCCTAGAAGTAATTTGATTACATTTATAATGAGCAAAGGGATGGTTATCTATAGAATGATCCGTTTATTAGATTTAGGGATTTAGGTCTGTGTGTGTTTATTTAAGGACTTCTGGAAAACCGTTGGAGTTCAAATCTATAATCCAGGATTAACTCTTTGTGGCCCCCAGCAAATTAACCTCTCTGGGCCTGTTTCTGCATCATATGATGACAATTACAAAGTCCACTTCAGAACTATGTAGAGGAGGCAGTGGGCTAATTCATGTAAAATGCATCCTCCCACAGTAGGAACACTTGGGAAATTATTGCAGTAATGTCCTTGTAGGTAGCATAATCAGTCTGTGTTCTGAGAGGTGGAAAGTATAGTGGACGAAGCCCTGGGCTCCGCCCTGGAGGGCGTGGCAGACCAAAGGGCGAATGGGCACCCCAGCGCATCTGGCTTCCGGCTCTATAAGAGGCCAGGCCCTGCACCGGGCAGCTCAGTGCTGGCTCAGCTCTAGCCCGAGGCAGAATAGAGTGGTTCCTGACCACGCCAGATGAACTAATGGTGAGTCTGCGCCGTTCAACTCGGGGGGCCAAAGTCCTTCCAACCAGTGGGGTGGAAGGTCAGAAACCCCCAGGTGGGCAGTCAGAATCCTAGCGGGGGATCCACTAGGGAGAAAAAGGACTGAAACGTTGACATAATTCTTTTCTTTCGGCACGTGTTCATCGAGCACGCCAGCGTGCCTACCCCGCATTGCCCAGGGGTGCCCTCCTCTAGGTATACGCAGCCCCTCAGAGGAGATAGTGGTCTGGCTGGTCCTGCCGGCTGCTGTCCCCAAGGTTTCTCGAGGGAATGGCCACTGACCTGGTGGTCCGCTGCCATACCCAAACCACTGGTTCGTCCTGGGCAACTGGGAATGTCTGTGAAAGGGATGGAAGGATGCTCAGAGCCCAGGGTCTGGGTGGGATGGGTTAACATTAGAGATCAAGAAAGAAGGACTGACTTCCTTCCATCTTCCATCCTTCCTTCTTTCCATCATTCCGTCTTTTCTTCCCTCCTTTCCTTTTTTCCCCGGAAAATCTTTTTATTTTCTTTGTTGATTTTTAGAGGGAGGGAGAGATAGAAACATAGATGAGAGAGAACATTGATTGGCCGCCTCCTGCATGCCCCCCACTGGGGACCGAGCCCACAACCTGGGCATGTGCCTTGACTGGGAATCAAACTGGCAACCTCTTGGTGCATGGGTCGACACTCAACCACTGAGCCACACTGGCCAGGCAGGAAAACCCTTTTATTTTTATTTTTCTCAGTTTTATTGACAAAAAAAACTCATATATATATATATATATATATATATATATATATACACACACACATACATATACATATACACATACACACACATATATATACATGTATATATATATAAAATACATATTTCTCTCTCTCTCCCCGCCCCCTTTCCACTCTATTTTTTTTTAAATCTTTGTTGAATGTATTACAGATGTTCCTCATTTTTCCCCCATTGACCACCCCCGCCCCCCTCCTGCCTTTTCCCACACTGTTGTCTCTGTCCATTGGTTATGCATATAAGTTCTTTGGTTTATTTCTTCCCACCTCCCAACCCCTTTCCCTTTGAGGTTTGTCAGTCTAGCAGTGAATTTGTACTTCTTAATCCCTTCACCTTTTTCATTCATTCCCCCAACCTCCCTCCCATCTGGCAACCAACAAAATGTTCTCTGTATCTATGAGAATGTTTCTGTTCATTTTGTTTGTAGATGCCATTGCCGATAGATATGTATTCATTGCCATTTTGTTTGTTCATATATGTTATCTTTTTCTTCAAAAAGACCCTTCATCATTTCATATAATAACGGTTTGGTGGTAATGAACTCCTTTAACTTTTTCTTGTCTGGGAAACTCTTTATATGGCCATCGATTCTAAATGACAGCTTTGCAGGATAGAGTAATCTTGGTTGTAGGTTCTTGCTTTTCATCACTCTGAATATTTCTTACCACTCCCTTCTGGCCTGCAAAGTTTCTTTTGAGAAATCAGCTGACAACCTTATGGGAACTCCCTTATAGGTAACTAACTGCTTTTCTCTTGCTGCTTTTAAGATTCTCTCTTTGCCTTGAACCTTTTGCATTTTGATGATGATGTGTCTTGGTGTGGGCCTCTTGGGGTTCATCTTGTTTGGGACTCTCTGTGCTTCCTGGACTTGTATGTCTGTTTCCTTCACCAAGTTAGGAAAGTTTTCTGCCATTATTGTTTCAAACAGGTTTTCAATTTCTTGTTCTCTCTTTTCTCCTTCTGGCACCCCCAAGATGCGAATGTTGGCACGCTTGAAGTTGTCCCAGAGGCTCCTTTCACTGTCCTCATTTTTTTGGATTCCTTTTTCTTTTTGCTGTTCTGATGGGGCGTTTTTTGCTTCTTTATATTCCAAATCAATGGTTTGCTTCTTGGATTTACGTACTCTACTATTGAATCTGTGTAAATTATTCTTTATTTCAGTTAAAGCCTCCTTTGTTTCTAACTGTGCCTCCATCATTTCTGACTGGTCCTTTTTTATGCTCTTGAGGCCCTCACTGAGTTCATTGAGCATCCTTATAAGCAGTATTTTGAACTCAGCATCTGTTAGGTTGCTTATCTCCATTTCGCTTAGTTCTTTTCTTGGGGTTTTGTTCTGTTCTTTCATTTGGGACCTGTTTCTTTGTCTCCTCATTTTGGCTGCCTCTCTGTGTTTGTTTCTGTGTATTACTTAACAAGAGGTATGGGGCTATCTGAGATGAGATGCTGCTTGTTTGAAAGAATTTAGGAAAACCTGAAGCAGGATCCAAGACAGGCCAATCCTATGGTTAAGCAACTGGCAACAGCTTGGGTGGGCCTGAAAGCTGGGTGGGGTGGCGCCTCAGGGAATCACCAGGGCGGGGCTACCAGTGTGAGCCAGGTTGCTGGAGTCCCAGATATGGGGACTGTCTGCTGCCCCAGGGAAGGGCTCACCAAAGGAACAAAGGCCTCTGACAGCACGTTTGTCCCAGAGAAAGCCCCCTCTCCAGCCCTCACTCCAATGCCAAACAGCTCAGTTCTTCCCTGTATGTCTCTGGTGCCCCTCGAGCTGCCTTCCCTCCAAGCTTAGAGGGAGAGAGTCTGATAAGTCCGTGCGTGGGCCCTTTAAAGAGCTGCCTAGGGCTCCAGCACATCAGCTTTTCTGAGCCTCAGTTCCCGCTGGTTTTTCCAGCCAGAGGACTTCTCTTCCTGGCACTGGAACCCTGAGCGGGGTGTCTGGTGTGGGACGGGGACCCCTCAGTCCTCAGGGAGGACCTTCCCAGCCGAGGTGTCCCTCCTGATTTTTATCCGCCACACATGGGTGTGGGACCAGCCTGTCGCGCCTCCGCCCCTCCTACCAGTCTCGATGTGGCTGCTTCTTTAATTCCGTAGTTGTAGGACTTCCATTCAGCTTGATTTCAGGCGGCTTTGATGATGGTTTTTCTGTAGTTTAGTTGTAACTTTGATGTGGTTGTGGGAGGACGTGATACTGCGTTTACCTACGCCGCCATCTTGACCGGAAGTCTCCCTTTCCACTCTATCTGAAGATAAATGGAAAAATGTCCTCGGATGAGGATTTAAAAAAAGAAAAAGAATCTTCCTTTTGGGACAAGTCACTTCCCTTCCCAGGACTTCTGTTTTCTCTTTTTTGAAATGGGATTAATCTTGGCTCTATCTTGTATTTTAAAGTTCATTAATTTAAATGAACTTCTATTTTAAAGTTTATTAATTTAACCAAAAATCCAGTGCCATGTCTGGGAGGCAGGGCATCTTTGAAAAAGTCTCTGGGGCAAGATCTCTACAGAGGATGGTGGAGTATTCATTCATTCATCTAGAGTCCCATCTCCACTGGTAGATAGGAGGAGTGTAATAATAGTTTACATTTTAGAAATGTTATTCTGGCCCTGGCCGGTGTGGTTTAGGTGAGTGAGTGTCAAGGCACATGCAGGAGGCCACCAATAGATGTGTCTCTCTCGCATGAATGTTTCTCTCTCTCTCTCTCTCTCTCCCCCCTCCCACCCTCCCTTCCACTCTCTCTAAAAATCAGTGGAAAAATATCTTTGGATGAGCATTAACAACAACAACAAAGAAATGTTATTCTGACTGTGGGATGGGGTGGTAGTGGGGCACAGGTGCACTGAATGGAGTTGATTCCAGACTCAGGCTAATTAAGAGGCAACTGCAGGCTTTCAGGCAAAAGATGATGGTGTGCTAGATTAGGATAGGATCAGCAAGGATGGAAAGGAAGGGTATGTGGGGTTGGGATTTGAGTTGGGTAGGATCCCTAAACTCACAACTTTTTTGCAGGATCTCATGGCTGAAGGTCCAGTTCAGTTATCAGGCAACTGCAAAGAGACTTACTCTTTACTTCAGAGACTCGAGGACATTGAGGAATTTCTCCAGGAACAACCTGAGACACATGAGGCAAGAACACCAGCTGCACCAGAGCCACAGCTTTATATGCCTCTTTCTGTCCATGGTGAAGACAGCCAACATGAATCCATTCAGAACCAGGTGATGACTCCCTTGAAGCCCACAATGATGAATTCTGCGTGTTCTAACATCCCTGGGACAGTTCTTGACCAGAACTCAACAACACTCCCTGTTAAAGCCTTTGATATGCCCCCAAGAGAACTAAGTGCGCCTTTCTTCATGGACCAGAAGGTGACCTCCTTTGATCAGAGAAAACCCACAGCAGCCTCCTGCATGATACCTGTCACTGAAAACCCAAAGACATCATTCACTGATTGCCAAAAGACAACCATCACTGCAAACAACATGACAATTTCCAATGCAGGCAGCCAGATGAAGACCCTCAGTGAGGAACAGACCTTCTACAGAGGCCAGATGACCTTCAGTGGGGACCAGACCCATTATGGAAACCGGATGACCTTTGGTGGGAACCATACCCGTTATGGAAGCCAGATGACCTTCAGTGGGGACCAGACCCATTATGGAAACCGGATGACCTTTGGTGGGAACCATACCCGTTATGGAAGCCGGATGACCTTCAGTGGAGACCAGACCCATTCTGGAAACCGGATGACCTTTGGTGGGAACCATACCCGTTATGGAAGCCAGATGACCTTCAGTGGAGACCAGACCCATTCTGGAAACCGGATGACCTTTGGTGGGGACCATACCCATTATGGAAGCCAGATGACCTTCAGTGGAGACCAGACCCATTCTGGAAACCGGATGACCTTTGGTGGGGACCATACCCATTATGGAAACCAGATGACCCTCAGTGGGGACCAGACTCATTATGGAAGCTGGATGACCTTTGGTGGGTATCAGGCCTATTATGAGTGCCAGATGACCTTCAGTGAGGACCAGGCCCTCTGTGGGGTCCAGATGAAGAACCTTAGTGATGAGCAGACTCTCTATGGAAGCCAGAAGACAGCTCTTAAAGGGGACTACACAATGACCTTTACTGGTGACCAGACCTTCACTGCGGGCCAAATGACAACATACAGTTGTGACCAGACTCTCTATGGGGGTCAGATGACAACCCTCACTGATGACCACACTCTCTATGGAAGCCATATGATGCCATGTCAATCATCATCATTGCCATACCCAGGATTCCTGTACTTTTCAAATTCCCATTTGACCCAAGGACAATCCCAGAGAAGTCAGTTCCAAAATAATGTTGACATTTTGAAGCCCTACATTTGCACATACCAGGACTGTGGAAAATCGTATTCAAAGCGTTTTCACCTCCAAGTCCATGAGCGCAAACACACTGGTAAGTGAGGGCTGAGGGTTAGGGGTAACAAGTAAATCTAAAGATTTGTGCCTTTATAAAAATTTGAGATTGTTGTCCCTCTAAGACTGGGACCCTAGTAGACCCTAGAAAAGGTTGGCAAATTTGAAAGGGTGGATATAGCAGTCCTAGGAACAAGTCTAGTTCTGGACCAGAGCCAGCCTGGCTGCAGCCTTTTTTGTTGGCTCTGCTGGGATGATGAGAATAAGTGGGGAATTGTTTAAGTTCTTACTGATTTGACACTACCTCTACTGGGACTGTCACTCTACTGGGACTCTCACTTCATGGACCTCTCCTCAGATCCAACAGACCCTCTCCCTCAACTTCCCTATCCCTCCTTATCCTCCTGACCCTTCTCCTATTTTCCTTTTTCTCTTCCTTTCCTTCCTTCATAGCTTTGTTCTCAGCCTTCCAGCTCGTGCTGCCTGCCTTCTTTTTCTCTTTCACTCACCCTCTGCAGTCTCCCTTCCTCTGGCTCTCCCTCTCCCACACCAACACACTCAAAACATTTTTCTTCTCCATTCACTTTCAGCTTCTTTGTCCCATGCTCCCTGAAACATGACAAGTCTCTTTCTCTCGGTCTAGGAGAGAGGCCCTACAAATGTGATGTGAAGGGATGCACCTGGAAATTTGCCCGTTCAGATGAGCTCAACAGACACAGCAGAAAGCACAGTGGGGAGAGACCCTACCAATGTACTTCGTGCGACAGGAATTTCACACGATCTGATCACTTAAAGCAGCATCAGAGAGTCCACAGCCGGTGACTATGAACCCATCAGCCCATGAGGAAATGAGCACAGCCAAAAGATTCTCCCTTCCAAGCCTTTGTCTGCTCAGCATCTAGCACCATGCTACTACATAGTGGGTGCTTAATATTATTTGCAAACTTTTTAAGGTTTTTATTTTCTAAAACATAGAAGGAACATATGTATGCATTTCAATAGAATCAGAAGCACTAAATCTGTTCAAAAGTTGAAACCTCCTGCCCTGGCCAGTGTGGCTCAGTTAGTTGAATGTCATCCATGCACCAAGAGGCCACTGGTTCAATTCCGGGTCAGGGCACATGCCTAGGTTGTGGGTTCGATCCCTAGTCGGGGTGCATATGGGAGGCAACTGATTTATGTTTTGCTCTCTTGCCCTCTCCCTTTCTCTCTAAAATCAATAAAAACGTACTAAAAAATAAAGTTGAACCTTCTGTCATGGCTGCTACTTCTCTCAGGCAAAGTGTCTCCTATTCCCCTCAGGCTTCTCAATATGCTGTCAGAATACAGAGAGTGGTGGCGCTGGAGGAGGGACGGTAGGTGCTGACCAAGAGGGGAAGGATCTATGTTTTCCACTAGGCCCTGAGCCCTTTTCTTCATTGTTTCTGCTTACATGTCTGCAGCGGGGCGACCTGTGGCCTGTTTGTCTTTGCATGGCCGTGGCTTGATAACTGCTTCTGAGGGGTTTAGCCATTTTCCCTGCTGACTAGGTCCTTCTCCCAGCTCTTGCAGGTTTTGGCCTCTTAAATCTGGCTTGAACCCCCATCCAGTCCCCCAGCTTGTGTAATATCCTCCCTGGCAAAAAACTCTGGGTAGAGTCAAGGATGTGATCTATCCCACTTCTTATTTCCAAGGGGGCACTTTGAGGGCTTGTTTGGCGGTTCTAGCAGGGGAGCATAGCTACTTGTATACCCTTGACTGAAGACTGGTCCTCTCCTCCAGGGGGGAAGGTCATCCTCTTCCACTGAGCCTGCAGCCTTGGGAGGGACATACATGGATGGGTGAGGGAGGAGGGGACACCTGCCTAGGCAGCCAGATCAGCTGAATCAACCCTGGCTATCAATGGGGTGACATGTCGCAGCCAGATCACCCTCACACCCTCCAAGGGGGGGCATTTTGAAAAGCTCTTTCCACATGGAGCTCTAAGGGAATCCCCAAGCCTTCAGTTTGCTCTGCAACATTCCAGATTCTTCCTGACCCACCCACTCTCACCTTACAAATGCCCCAAAAGCTACATCCCTGAGTCTTTGAAGGCCCCAGACAGCATTCTAAATCAGCACTGTGGGCAGTTATTTTTTCTCCCCCAGTAGCCATTATAGTTTTGGGTAGACGATAGTATTAGCCGTTGGTAGGTAATTAGGTAGGTTCGGGGTCATCCACATGGCCCACTAAAATGCAGCAGTTATCAGAGATTTTGGGCAAAGGTCAGTAGTGGTACACGTAGACAATACATCTATACCAATAATACATTCAATGGGGGAGCCATACACAGTGAAGGAGGTGTGACAAGACCTGAAAGGACCCACTGGGCTTGGGCAAGAACACCAGTGGTAACGGCCTCAAACCCGGAACCAAAGAGTTTTATCTGCTCCCCCCTCATCCTAGAGCCAGATTTCAGGAGTCACAGTCACCTGTGCACAAGCAGCCACAACCCGAGCAGTACATTCCTCCCTTCCATACTCATTAACCCCTGACCTTGGCGTAGGGTCTCCGGTTCCCTCTGGGGACAGAGGGACCTTGGACTAACCCTTAATCTTATTTATTTTTTAATGCCAAGAGGTTCAGATAAGATTGGCAGTATTCTCCAATCATTGCCAGGGTCACAGAGCCCCATCAAGTGTCCTGTGGCCTGGTACTTGGCCCTGAATTCCTTGGTCTATCTATCTCCTCCTTTGAGACTGCCAATAATCAAATTCAGGGATCTTTTGGGGAAGGCCTTTGCCCAGGTTGGCCAGGAGAGGGCACTAGGTTATTACTCTGAGCTGCTCTTTCTCCTAGTTAGTCTGCTATATTGCCTGTTGTCACTGTTTTGTTTTTTTTAATCCTCACCCAAGACATTTTTCCATTTTGTGTTCAGATAGAGTGGGAGGGAGAGAGAGAGAAACATCGATGTGAAAGGGACACATCGAGTGGCTGCCACCCACACGACCCAACCAGGGCCGGGGACAAACTGCAACCAAGGTACGTGCCCTTAGCGGGAACCGAACCCCGTCTCTCCAGACCGCAGACCAACGCTCTAACCGCTGAGCCAAACCGGCCAGGGCAGTTGTCACTGTTTTCATGTCTGGGAATTTATCAGTTAAGGCTGGACTGTGTCGTGGACCAATTTACCTGACTTCACATGGAGGTGTTTTTTTTAAATTCTCACAAGAAGATAGTTTTCCATTTATTTTCAGACAGCGTGGGAGGGAGAGCTAGAGAGAGACAGAGAGAAACATCGATTGGTTGCCTCCCAGACAACCCAGGGACTGAACTGCCACCCCAAGGTACGTGCCCTTGACAGGAATCAAACCCACAACTCTTTGGTCCATGGACCAGCACTCTAACCGCTGAGCCAAACTGACCAGGGCTAAAGCTTTTCTTAAAATAATTTTTCATTATTGATTTTAGAGAGAGAGGAAGGGAGAGGGAGAGAGATAGAAACATCAATGAGAGAGAACATTGATTGGCTGCCTCCTGCATGCCTCCCACTGAGGATCAGGCCCACAACCTGGGCATGTGCCCTGACCAGGAATCAAACTGGTGACCTCTTGGTGAACGGGCCAACGTTCAACCACTGAGCCACACCAGCCAGGCTAAGCTTCTTCTTCTTTTTTTTTTTTTAAATATGTTTTTATTTACATTTTAGAGAGAGATAGAAACATCGATGCGAGAGAGAAACATTGATCGGTTGCCTCCGGCACATCCCCCACTGGAGATCAAGCCCGCAACTGGGCATGTGCCCTGACTGGGAGTCAAACTGGGACCTCTCAGTCCATGGGTCGATGCTCAAATCACTGAGCCACACTGACAGGGCTCACGTGAAGGTTTAACGGGACCCAGTGACCAGCACCAACAGGAGCAGCATGGACAAACTTGGAAATTTGAGTCTGGCTAACAGCCTTATATCCACTGTTTTCAGTCCCTCACTGTAGACCCAGGGGATCACAGGGATGACTCGCAGAGATGTTAGAGTCTCGCCCTGGCCGGTTTGGCTCAGCGGTTAGAGCGTCGGCCTGCGGTCCGGAGAGACCCGGGTTCGGTTCCCGCTAAGGGCGCGTACCTCGGTTGCAGTTTGTCCCCGGCCCTGGTTGGTCGTGCGGGTGGCAGCCACTCGATGTGTCCCTTCACGTCGATGTTTCTCTCTCTCTCTCTGTTCCTCTCTCTCCCTCCCGCTCTACCTGAACAAAAAATGGAAAAATATCCTCGGGTGAGGATAAAAAAAAAAAAAAAATGAGAGATGTTAGAGTCTCTGCAAGTGTGTTCCACACAAAAAACTTGTCAAGAGTGGTTCAAACTTCGAGAGTCTAATAGTACCCACAGAAGAAAGAGGTCTTAGATGTTCACACCCTCTTATCTACCTCTTCCTCCTCCTCCTTGGGCAAAGTGGCCTCTGTTAGGGTTCTGTAGTAATGCACCCCACAAAGCAACACTCTCCATCACTAAGTTTAACAAGATGATCTTTTTCATTGTGGAGACAAACTAACCAAGTCACTAAGGTCTCTTTGGGCCACTGGACAAAGTGATTCCAAGAGACTCTACACTCCCACTGAAGGCATGAGTTGCAATAACACATGGAGTCACAGGATATCCCTTGGTCCCAGGGACCTGCTCAGAGCCCCTGGTTATTGGGTGTAATTCAGCATGTGAGGTCTCTGGCAATTTGTGGTCCCATTGTTGCAGGACCACGAGCAGCAGCCAGAGAATTGCTTCCGTAGCTTTCTTAGAGTCCCTTTGTTGAGTTTCTAATTTGACCCAGTGGGCGAGCCCAGACGGATTTGGGGGTAAATGGCTCCCCTTAGAACTGAAGGATTTCTGTAACTAATCCCCAGCACTCCCCAAGGCCATAGGCATGGCTGTGAGAGTGCCCCCGGGGACCCCCAGCCGTTCCTTCTTCCAGACAGCTTTGTGCACAGTTGGCCACCCTGCTCACTTAATCAACTTGTTGAGTTGCCAGGTGCCAAGATGGTTAATTAGAACAATGGGTCAGGCTGAAGGTAGAAATCAAAGCTTTATTCACTTTCTGTGACAGTGGAAGAAGAGGTGAGAAGGAGAGATGCTGGCTCCCTCGTGCTCCGTTTTCTCCAGGATGCAGGCAGACGGGAAGTATCTCACTTCCCGCAGCCCCAAACTAAACGTTTCTGCCTTCCATGGACCTGGAGAACCCTGGGAGGAAAAGGAGAAAGGGCTAGGAGAAGAAAGTACTGAGTCAGAATGAAGTGTCTCACCAAGGACCTCAGAAGGAGGTCTCTGATGGAGGTGACTGGCTATAAACACCAATATGCATAAGAGTGTGTCTGGCCCAGAGGGCCCTGAGTCCATGCAACTCCCTTCAGAAAACTCAGTGCCCTGGCTGCACACCATCTGCTGTGGGGAGGGCAGCCTCCTCCGTGAGGCCAACCAGGCCAAGCCTTATGTCAGGCCTAAAAAAATCATACACAGGATTTGGGCCCGGAGCCAGACTACTCACTCAATTTAAGAATTGGAATATTATTGCCCTGGTCAGTCTGGCTTAGTGGTTAGAGTGTCCATGATGGAAGAGCTTTGGAGTGGGGAAGAACAGGGGAGACAACCCTGGTGGTTAGCAGACAGACTGAATGCACTGGTGTGGGTAGGAGGCCTGGTGTCTGCCTCGGGAGGGCTACATGAAGGGGATCAGCAGGCTGGGCTGGGGCTGCAAGGTCAGTGAATAATGTGGATCTGGTGAATGAAGAGGCAAAAAGACCAGTGGAATAAAATAAGAAGTTCATAGACAGACACAAGTACATATAGAAAATAAGTATATGGCCCTGGCCAGTTTGGCTCAGCAGTTAGGGTGTTGGCCTGAAGACCAAAGGGTCACAGGTTCAATTCCAAGTCAAGGGCACACGCCTGGGTTGCAAGTTCCTTCCCTGGCCCTGGTTGCGGTCATGCGGGAGGCAACCAATCGATGTGTCTCACACATAGATGTTTCTGTCTCTCTCTCGCCCTCCCTCCCTTCCATTCTATCTAAAAATCAATAGAAAAATATCCTCAGGTGAGGATTAACAAAATAAATAAATAAAGCACTAAATAAGTCATAATATAAAAAAAGAAAAGAAGTATATGATAAAAGTGACAAAGCACTTGGAGCACATAAACTTGAAGAAATTGTGCTGGGCCCTGTCCTGTTTGGCTCAGCAGTTGGAGCGTCAGCCAGCAGACCAAATGATCTCAGGTTTGCTTCCGGGTCAAGGGCATGTACCTTGGTCGCATGTTTGATCCCTAGCCCTGGTTGGGTCATGCAGGAGGCAACAAATCGATCTCTCTCTCTATCTCTCCCTCCAGCCTTCCCTTTCCACTTTATCTAAAAATCTATAGAAAAAATATCCTTGGGTGAGGATTAAAAAAAGAAAGAAATTGTGCTGGGTCAGCTACTTAACTGACTAGCAAAAGTTAAAATTAGGTTTGTAGCTCGTCCCATACATAAGAGTAAACTCCAAATGAATCAGGTATCTAAAAGTAAAATATGAGGCTCTGGTCAGGTAGCTCAGTTGGTTAAAGCATCGTCTTAATACACCAAGATTGGGGGTTCCATCTCCAGGCCACAAACAAGAATCAACCAATGAATGCATAAATAAATGGGACAACAAATCGATGTTTCTCTCTCACACTCACCTTCCCTTCCTTCCTCTCTAAAATCAATCGATAAAAAAATAAAAATAGCCCTGGCCAGTTTGGCTCAGCGGTTAGAGCGTTGGTCTGCGGTCCGGAGAGACCCGGGTTCGGTTCCCGCTAAGGGCATGTACCTTGGTTGCAGTTTGTCCCCGGCCCTGGTTGGTCGTGCGGGTGGCAGCCACTCGATGTGTCCCTTTCACATCGATGTTTCTCTCTCTTTTTTCCTCTCTCTCCCTCCCACTCTATCTGTAAAAAAATTTTTAAAAATAAAAAATAAATAAAAATAAAATATAAAACCATACAAGTATTAGAAAAAATATATGAATTTCTTTATAACCAAAATTTAGAGAAAGGATTCTAACTACAATTCAAATCCAGATGCACTAAAAGAAGAGGGTTGGTAAAATTACATGAAAATAAAAATCTTTCACATGGCAAAAAATACAGCTAGTTAGCCCTGGCCAGGTGCTCAGTTGGATGGAGCACTGTCATCATACATGAAAAAGGTTGAGGGTTCGATTCCTGGTCAGAGCACACACTTAGGTTTTGGGTTCAGTCCATAGCTGGGGTCCCTACAGGAGGCAAAGGATCGATGTTTCCCCCCCTCTCTCTAAAAATCAACAAAAACACATCCTCGGGTGAGGGTTAATAGATAGATAGATAGATAGATAGATAGATAGATAGATAGATAGATCAAAAGACAACTGGCAAACTTTTAAAAATTGAAAAATACACCAAAACCCAGAGGGAAAAAATGGACAAAGTCATGGACAATCACAAAAAATAAATTTAATAGCCCATAAATATATGAAAAGAAATCTAGAGGGGAAAAGGAGAAACATCTGTAACAAAAATTAGTTAATTACTTAAAATAAATAAATTTTTTTTTAAAGAAAAAAATTTAATTATTATTCATAATTTGCAAAGAGCAAATTAAAACTACAATGGGCTTCCTTCCTGCTTCGTTCGCACGTTTCGGGACGTGGGAAAGAGCGTCCAGGCAACCAGCACCACCTGAGGAGCCCGGGAGCCCCGCCGTGGACGAGGACCAGCGCTGGAGAGGAAAATGTCTGGGTTGAAGACCTCAAAGGCTGAAGGCGAGAGGAAGACAGCCCTGGAAATGGTCCAGGCAGCTGGAACAGGTGGACACTGTGTGACATTTGTTTTGCATGAGGAGGACCATACCCTAGGAAATTCTCTTCGTTACATGATCATGAAGAACCCGGAAGGGGAATCTTGTGGATACACTACAACCCATCCTTCAGAGAGTAAAACTAATTTACGCATTCAGACTCGAGGTGGTCTTCCAGCTGTTGAGCCATTTCAAAGAGACCTGCATGAGCTCATGAACGTCTGCCAACATGTGCTTGACAAGTTCGAGGCCAGCATAAAGGAATATAAGGACCAAAAAGCAAGCAGAAATGAATCCACCTTCTAGTCCCTTGTGCACTATACAGGGAGGAACATTCTCTAGGATGTTCTCTTCGTGATCTTGTAAAACCCAGAAAAAGAAGTTTGTGGTTACAACATGATCTGTCATTCAGAAAGGTGTGATTCTAGCTATTAACCCGTTACCGCTATTGGAATCCCTGCAAGAACCTTTGCATTCTTCAAATAAATTCCCTCTTTAAACTAAAAAAAAAAAAAAAAAAAAAAAAACTACAATGAAAGTGAAAAGAGTGGAGTAGGGACCTCCAAAATTTTTCTCCTCCGTAAGAGCAACAAGAAGACCAGCAAAGCCCTGGCTGGTTTTGCTCCGTGGTTAGAGCGTCGGCCTGTGGACCAAAGGGTCTTGGGTTCAATTCCAAGTTAAGGACACGTGTCTGGCTTGCAGGTTTGATTTTATCCCCAACCCTGGTTGGATCTCTCCTTTCTCTCTCTCTCTCTTCCCCTCCCTCCCTTTTACTCTCTCTAAAAATCAATGGAAAAATATTCTTTGGTGAGGATTAACAAAACAAACAAACAAAAAACACCAGCAAAATTGTTAGAATCAACTTTTTCAGAATTCAGGAAATTCATCAAAGGGTTGCAGCAATCTGGAGAGCATTTGTTCAAGAAAAATGACTGAATATCAGTAAAAACAGTGAGCTATGTGGTATTTCCATTTGTCCTATTCCCATCTACCCCAGCTCCATGGTAGCCTTGAAAACCACCATCCTGAGGGGGTCAATGGGGACTAAAGGGGGGTGGGCATCTGTAATACATTCACAATAAAGATGAGTTTAAAAAAAAAGAGCCCTGACTGGTTTGGCTCAGCGGTTAGAGTGTCAGCCTGTGGTCCAGAGAGACCTGGGTTTGGTTCCTGCTAAGGGCACGTACCTCAGTTGCAGTTTGTTCCCAGCCCTGGTAGGGTCGTGTGGGTGACAACCACTCGATGTGTCCCTTTCACGTCGATGTTTCTCTCTCTCTCCCCCTCCCACTCTATCTGAACAAAAAATGGAAAAATGTCCTCGGGTGAGGATTAAAAAAAAAAGAAAAGAAATCACCATCCTGTAGTCACAGTGAAAACTAGCAGCCCAGCAGCTACTAGAGGCAAAACAGGATTGAAGTCTCTTTAATGCTCCATTTCCAGAAACAGAGCATGGAAGTCTGAGTTGAAACAAAGACTAAAGTTTGAGAAGACCAAGGTGGCTAGAATTTGTGAGGCAGAATACTTGAGGGGATAAAGTTTTTCAGAGAATACACTCAATATCTTGAGGGGTGTTCTTTGGAAGGATTTTTGATTGAGCACTGACAAAGCATGAGAATTATCCAAGACTAGGAAAAATATCACAAAAAAGAAATAGGCAGGCCCTGGCCAGTTTGGCTTAGCGGTAGAGCATCGGCTCGCGGACCAATGCGTCATGGGTTCTATTTCGGTCAAGGACATGTATGTTTGGTTTCTGTTCATCCCCGGCCCTGGTCAAGGTCATGCAGGAGGCAACCAGTTGATGTGTCCCTCTCACATCAATGTTTCTCTCTCCCTTTCTCTCCCCTCCACTCTATCTGAAGATAAATAAAAAATATCCTTGGGTGAGGATTAAAAAAAAAAAAGAAGTCCTGGTTGGTTTGGCTCAGCGGTTGGAGCGTCGGCCTGCGGACCAGAGAGTCCAGGGTTCGGTTCCCGCTAGGGGCACGTACCAAAAAAAAAAAGAAGAAGAAATAGGCAGAACAATTCCTGGAGCTCACACAGGACTGGAAAAAGTTTGTTTTCACTAGCCAGAATGTAAAGACATAATATACAGATCAGGCAGAATCCTTGGGGATTTTTGTTGTTGTTTATTTGTTTGTTTTGCACATATATATAGTAGTTAGGCTAAGTTAGCTCTAGAAAAAAAGAAGTTTCGGACCTGTCCTAAAAAAGCTTAAAAGTAAGCCTCATATAAATAAAAATTTCTGAGGAAAAAAAAAAGTAAGCCTCAAAGGGATCCAACAAATTCTAAGAAGTAAACGCCAACACTATTTAAAGGAATAAAACAAAACCCAACAATCAACAATGTAAATTCACAATTGTCTGGCATCCAATAAAAAAGTATCAACCATTCAAAGAAGCAGGAAAATAAGGACAATTACCAGAATAAAAATCAATCAATACAGACCCAAAAATGACAAACATGGTAGAACTGAGACAGGCTAGTAAGCCAAGACAAGCAGAATAGGGAAACTGAGACAGCAGTTTGCAGCCATCTAGATGCCTAACATCTAGACAATCTAGATGCCAAGCAGTTTGCAGCCATGCAGAAAATCCTATCTTCCCTAACTCAGGGACACTTAAGAGTAAATGGTTTGTGCTTATCCCCAACCAGGGGGTAAATAGCTTACATCACGGTACTCAGGGAGACAGATAGCAGAAATCTAATTAGGGCTATTTGCCAACCACACCCAAGGACAGATAAAGAGAATAAATCTCATTTTGGCACATCAACATAATGAATACCCTATTGAAATCCTCCCCTAAACAACTTTTAAAACCCCTCAAAACAAAGGTCCCAGTGCACGCTCTCCTTCCAGGGAGGACACCTGCACCTCCCCTCACCCCTTCTTCCCCCACAAGTATGCATCTCCTAAACTCTAAGGGTCTCACAAGGTTTTCAACCAAGGCAGCAATGGGTGGTGGCAGTTTATCCCAGGCAAACCCCAAGGACCTCTTTACTCTGACTTAGTGAGCCAAAGCAAAGCAGCCTAGGCTCATTTCCCCAGTCCTTTCTCGTTTCACTGTCCCCAGCTTTAATAAATGTCCTCTAAAATTTACCTGTACTCATGTTGTGAAACTTTTCCTGCAGAAAGTCAAGAACCCATACACTACAGGCTGACCCTAGGCAGACCCACTCAGGGCCAAGTCACTTTCCGGTAACAGAACTAACTTAGGAACAGAACTAACTAACTTAAAACAGCTATTGTAACTATGCTTCATATGTTCAAAAATATAGAGGAAAGCATGATCATAAGAATAGAAATGGAAGATATGAACTACTAGAGATGAAAAATATAGTATCCGAAATGAAAAGCATACTTTTGGGAACTGATTAGATACTGTAGAAGAAAAGATTAGTTAGATTGAAGATATCTAAAATGAAGTAGAAAAAGAAAAAAGACAGAAAAAAATGCACAGAGGAGCATCAGTAAACCATGGGACAACATCAAGCAGTCTATTTATTATATGAACAGACTGTGTGTCAGGAGAGAGGGGACAAAAAATTGACAAAACAAAGGCTAAACTTTTTACAAATTTTACTAAAATGATAAGCTTTTGGATTGAAGGTCAATGAGCCCCAAACAGAATAAAGTTCAAAACCACATTAAACCAATCACTATATTGTTTAAGAATAGATACATATATAGTAAAAACAAATAAAAGCAAAGACAAGATTAACCAACATTCAGGATAGTGGTTACCTCTATGGAGGATGGGGATGTGATCAGAGAGGGGAGCACAAAGGTTTCAAAGGTATTAGTATGTACTTTTTCTCAAGTGACATAAATGTTAGATGTTTATTTTTTATTTTTATTTTTTAAATTATTATTATTTTTATTGTCACCCAACGACATTTTTGCATTTATCTTCAGATAGAGCAGAAGGGAGAGAGTGAGGGAGAGAGAAACAGCGAGGCGAGAGAGTCACATCGACTGGTTGCCACCCACACGACCCCAACCAGGGCCAGGGACAAACTGCAACCAAGGTTTGTGCCCTTAGCAGAAACCGAACCTGGGCCTCTCTGGTCTGCGGGCCGATGCTCTAACCGCTGAGCCAAACCAGCCAGGGCTAGATACGTTTCTTTTTGTTTTATTATTTAAATTGCATCCATACAAAATAATGCTTTTTGCATGTATAATAGAGATCATAGTAATAGAAAATTAATTTCTTCTGTGCTACCTATAACACAGAGTCAAAAGCCTGGGAGTCATCCTTGACCACACCCTCAACCAAATCCAGTTAGTTATCACTACTAAATCTTCCTCATCTTCGACTTCCACACCCTGGTCCAAGCCTCCTTCACCTGACCAGGAGCCCTGAGACCGATTCCTCTCCCTTAAGGCAGTCAAAGAAACCATTTTAAAAATGTGCTTTATTTTATCTTTTTATCTTGAATCTAATCTCACCCACTTGCTATCAAAAGCAACAGATAAGTAAATTGTCCAAGACCACACAGCTAGGAAATGGCAGAGATAGGATTCAAGAACGCACAATGTCTTTCCCACCCACTTATCCTGCCTTGTGTTGAACAAGATAAAACTGGGAGAGGCTTGGCCCAAAGTGGGCATAGGGTAATCACTGGTTAAAGGATAGATTGATTTATTCTCCTCCAATCACCCCCTCATTATGGATGGGACCTAGTGCCCGGGTGGGAATAAAAGAGATCTTCGTTATTCAAAACCTGAGTCCTTAGGGCCACTAATTGGGTCACAAATAAGCAAGTGCCGTTTTGTCCCTACTTTAAAAAAAAAAAAAAAATCGCCCTGACCAGTTTGGCTCAGCGGTTAGAGTGTCCTCGGGTGAGGATGAAAAAAAAAAACACATCCCCTCCCCTCACTTGGAATTTGGGTGGCGGGCACCTGACAGCCTGGCCCAGGTACACTGGGGCCACTAGGAAAACATCCAAGCGGCCATGCAGAACAGTTAGGGAGGGGTGAGAGAGGAGGGCATAGCGAAGGCTGTGGGACTTCCCCAGCTGCCCATAAGTTGAGTTCAAGGAGGTTCAGCCTTCACCTTGGTAGCACTTGAAGTGCTGCCCTACAGCAGGCGCCATCACGTTCTGAGTTCTTAGTGTCCAACACCAAGCACGACCAAGGGTAGACATCCAGAAAATGGGGAGTCAGGCCGTGATGCTCTCTGAATTGTGAGTCAAAAATATTTGCCCACCCTGCCAGTGTGGCTCAGTTGGTTGAGCAGAGTCCTGTGCATGGGAAAGCTGCAGGTTTGATTCCTGGTCAGGGCACGTATCCAGGTTGTGGGTTCGATCCCTGGTCGGGGCACGTATAGAAGGCAAACAAATCAATGTTTCTCATATCGATGTTTTTCTCTTTCTCTCTCCCCCTTCCCCTGTCTAAGCTTGTCCTCGGGAGAGAATTTTGAAAAATAAAATTATGGCCCTGGCCGGTTGCTCAGTGGTTAGAGCATCGGCCTGCGGTTCAGAGAGACCCGGGTTCGGTTCCCCCTAAGGGCACGTTCCTCGGTTGCAGTTTGTCTCTGGCCCTGGTTGGGTCGTGCGGGTGGCAGCTACTCGATGTGTCCCTTTCACGTCGATGTTTCTCTCTCTCTCTCTCCTTCCCACTCTATCTGAACAAAATATGAAAAAATGTCTTCGGGTGAGGATAAAAAAGAAAAAGAAACAGAAAATTATGCCCGGCTGGTGTGGCTCAGTGGTTGAGCATCGACCCATGCACTAAGAGGTCGCGCATTCGATTCCCGGTCAGGGCACATGCCCAGGTTCTGGGCCTGATCCCCAGTGGGGGACACGCAGGAGGCGGCCAGTCAATGTTCTCTCTCCTCCATGTTTCTATCTCTCACTCCCTCTCCCTTCTCTCTCTAAAAATCAAGGAAAAAAAAACATTTTTTTAATTAATAAAAAATAAAAGTTTGTAGGCTGGTTCTCCTCTGAGCAGTTGCCAGGTAGAGTGTTCTCTGCCTAGAATTCTCTCCTTTTCATTCACATGCTCAGTTTATTTTAACATTTAAGGCAAATTAATTTTTATATATACTTGCTTATTGAGCTCAAAGGTCACCTCCTTCAAAAAGCCTTTCTGACCTGCCCCGTTAGGTGTTCCTCCTCCCCATGGTCACTGCACCATGGGCACCTCTCAAGCCCCCAGACAAAACGGTTCCTGGACCACAGGAACCAGGCATCTCGCTGTGGCCATCGACTGGCAGAGCTTGGCATCAGACTAGGTCCAGGCAGCACCTGTACAAGGCACCATGTCTCAGTTAAGAGATCTACCTCTGGAGTGGACAGATCCTGGTCGGATCCCAGCTCTGCCACTTGAGAGCTTGGGCAAGTTCCTTCCTATTCGCTTGCTGGTCGGTAAAATGGCTGGCTGACAAGTCCCGAAATAAGGTTTTGAACTACCTGGCCGAGTCGTCGGGCTGGCCACTATGCCCTCAACCCAGGGAGAGGGGCAGAACAGGCCCTTTAATGCATGGTACTTGCTACCTGAGCTCTGTGAGGAGGAGGGGAAGATATAGTGGGGTTCATCTTCCTCACCCTGTCTTATGTCCGCCACCCCAAAGTCACCTAGAAAACACAGCCTAAAACAAGATTTAAGTACCAATGTTTTATTTGGATGGTGTGAACCCAAGACAGAGAGAAAAGAAAAGCAAGGCGGGGAGAATGGGAGGGAACGCAAGGCGACAGCGGGTGGGGTCCTCCTTCACAAGCCTCGAAGCACAGCACGAGATCGCTGGCTACTGGGAGATCTCCCCATGGGCTGTGCTGTTCGGAGAAACGGTGCCTTGCAGCCACTCAGGAAAGGAAAAGAGGGAATTTATCTGCCCGGGTCTCTCCCGACTCCCATTAGTCACCAAAACCCCAGGAGTATTAATCCCCCACACTTCTGTGTTGTGGTGGCTACTTGAGATGCCAGAGCCCATGCCCGTGGGCGTGCCTTCCAATCAAGTCTGGAAGCGCTGGGAGGAGACAGAAACTCCGGGCATGTGGCTGGTGAGCGCTGGACAGAATCCGATTCAATACCTAAGATATGCCCCAAACAGTCCAATGTTTTTCTCATTTACCAGAAGAGGAAACATGTCATAGAGATCACAGACCTTTCCCCAGGTCGCATGGCTGGTCGTGGCGAGTTCAGGATTTGAACCTAGCCTGGCTCTGGAAACCGTGGAAGGCCGAGTAAGGAACCTGGATTTTGTGCAGCAGGTAAAGGAGAGTCACTGAAGGGTTTCAAGTTGGGGAGTGACAGAAGAGAAAGAGCTTTTGAATAAAGCTCCCATCTCTACTTTGCTCCACCTTTCCATGTGGCTAAATTCAGCAAAAGAAGGTGGCCCAGAGTGGTAATGGCATCCAAGACAGTTTTTGAAGAGTCCCTGACGGGGAGTCCCAGAGCTCAAATGGGCTTCATTCAACACTGTCTCATAATCTTTCTCGGTCTGCTTCTAAGCCTACACCTGCCAAAGACACTAGCTGGTCGAAGGCAGGAAGGACTTGGGTGGAGAAGCCAAAACGAGGGGAAGAGGAGATTGACCTAAAGACCGGGAGCAGGAGGACCAGCCATCTGTTCACTGTTGGCCCGTGGATTGGGGGATCCTGACATGTGCAGATGAGTCCTTCGGTGTTGCCTGAGATGGTCAGATCGCATGAATTTTCGTCCGCACTGATCACATCTATGGGGTCGGTATTTGGTATGTATCCGTTTATGTCGTCCAAGCTCATCAGAACGGAAGAAAGACCATGTACAACCTTCCCACGTACATTTATAGGGCCTCTCACCTGCAAAGGGAAAGTGACAAGGGAGAAAAGAAATTAAGTAAAGGAATTGAGGCCAGCAGGTGGGAAGGAAGGGGTTTGACTGAGGCAGAGCAGTCTAGGTTGAGGAATCAAAAGGGAAAACAGGGAGGAGGCATCACAATCAGCAGTCTCCATCACCCTGGTACAGTCACACTGGACCGTGGGAAAGCACGTTGGTGACAGTACAATGGGTCCAAAAATTGAAGGATGACGGACTAATCACCAGCCATTACAAACCAGTGGTCCACCACCAATCTAAGACCCAGAGACTCCCCCATCCCACCCCACCTGTCTGACACCTCATTCACCTGTATGTTTGCGTTGGTGGCTCACGAGGTGGGAGCGCTTAGTGTAAGCTTTTCCACAGTCCTTATACTGGCAGCAGTAAGGCCTTGCAACCGTGGCTCTCCTCCTGGGAGCCCTTTCCGGGGCCCTGCAATTCTGCTCTGCTCTTTGTGGAGCAGGTGTGGGCTGCTCAGGTAGGAAGGAGTCTTCCTGGAAGGCTGGCTGGCTAACAAAAGAGCCCTGGGATTCTAAAGCCAGCAATGATGGGGACCCAGCCGGGGGCATTCCGCAGTTGTGGGGATCACTAGGGGACAACATCTGAGCCAAAGAGGGAAGCAATGCCTGGTCCTCAGCAGAAGGCATGGTTGGGGACAATGACATTATAGGTGTTAAAGAATCTCTATTAGAAGATAGTGTAGGGGGGCTAGAATAAGGCATTGTTGGTGTCCTAATGTGGGACATCACTGGGATTTCACTGGGAGCTGTGACTGGTGGCCCATTGCGGGACATCCTTAGATTCCCACTGAAGGTCATGGCCACCCCTGGAATACTGGGCTCTCCTAAAGACATCATGTGGGGCCCCTTGAAAATCATCATTCCTGGTTGAGAGGGAGACATTCCCTGACAGTAAATCATTTGGGAAGGAGGGAGAGTCACTTGGGGGCAGTAGTTCCCACCACACTCAGGCAGCAACACACTGAACTGTGGCCCTATTTCATTCACATTCTCCCTGGGAGTCTCAGCAGAAACCAAGGGGATCCTCTCCAGTTGTGGACACTGAAGGATGTGTTGAGTGCCCGCTGGGCCATGGGTCCAAGAGGTGTGCACTCCACTGCTTCCAGGAGACGGAGACATGTCCAAGATGCACAAGGACTTCTCAGTGTTCTTGGAGAGAGAGAGAGAGAGTCAGGTTAAATTAATCCTAGCTCAAATTCCAGTTCCACAAGGCCCTCCTCCCTATCTTTAGACCACACCCATATCCAGGCCTCCATCATCTCTTGCCTGAATTATCCTACCTCCAAGCCATTCTCTAGTTTGGGCTTTTGTTTTTCTTCTTCTATTTTTTTAAAATCCTCACCTGAGGATATGTTGTGGATTACTGTTTTTTTTTTTAATTGACTTTAGAGAGAGCAAGGGGGAGAGAGAGAACGCGAAACATCGATGTGAAAGAAAAACACATTGATTCCCTCCCAGACGTGCCCCAACCAGGGATGAAACCCGAAACCTTTTGGTGCACGGGATGATGCTCCAAGCAACTGAGCCACCTGGCCAGGGCTCCAGTTTCTCTAAGATACAGGTCTGGCTGATAGAATAGTGGAAGCTTAGGTGTGACTCATACCAGTTTTCCTCCTTGGCATGTTTTTATTATTTCATAAAAAGCAACAAAGAGAGCAAATAAAATATTTCACAAACTACACCTTGAACAAAACTCTGAGAAAACCCTCAAACTCTAAATTACATGTAAGCATGAGGGTGAAAGAACACCCCAAACCAGCCAAATGGGTACAGAAAGCCACAAAGAAAAATAGAGGCTTCAGATGAGACCTGGCTTAAGCAAAACTTAGAAATTATCTGCAAATTTTACATATTTACCTACAGAAGGAGGTCTCACTTGAATGCGAACTGCTGTGGGCAGGTCTGAGATCAAACATTGGTGGAGGTAAGAAAAAGAAGCAGGCTTTAAAAAACACCTTTAGAAAAAGTGGGGGCCCTGGTCGGTGTGGCTCAGTTGGTTGGAGCGTTATCCGGTGCACCGAAGGTTTGATTCCTGGTCAGGGAACATACCCAAGATGGGGCGCATACTGGAGGAAACTGATCAACATCTCTCACACCAGTGTTTTTTCTCTCTCTCCCTCTCTAAAATCAGTAAAAAACATGTGCTCAGGTGAGGATTTTAAAAAATAATAAATAAATGTAGATGGGGGATTGTCTTGGAGGTCAGGGGCAGTAGCCCTTGCTTGATGGCAAGCTGATGTGAGGAAAAGAAAAAAAGGGCTTGGTGGCAGAACCTCTTGAAACAGGATAGGATGTAAAAATCATTTTGTAAACTGTCCATTATGTGGCAATAGAGAGAGCTCTTGAGCTGGGAAACTGGGACAGCTACCCCATCATCTCCCATCCACTCCTCCGTTGGACCAGTGCAGAAAACACCAATCAAATATGAAAAACAAAATATAAGTTAAAAAATACACTATCCATAAAAGATACAAAAAAAAAAATCAAAACAGAAATTAAAGATTGTAATTTTCTCTCAAAAGAAAAATAAAATTCATCAGAAAAATGCTGCTACAGATCAAAGAAAAATTAGCAACATTCAAACACAACTTAAAAAAAGAAAAAGAAAGCAGGACTTAAGAAAGCAATTGCAGCTTTTACACCAATTACAGAATCCAGCAGCAGTGGAGGAATTCAAGTAAATTATGTCCTGTCAATAGGCTACGAGTTATATTAGAGGGGAAGGAGGGGGCCCACCCCCGGAGGGGCTTCTGTGGTATGGCAATATTTCACAAGTCTTTACTTTGTGATAATTCATTAAGCTGCACACTTGAAATGTTTATGCTACTAAACATTTAAAGAACATCAATGGTCTTCAAATTCCTCCCCAAAATGGAAGAGGAGGGAATACTTCTTAATTCGTTCTATGAACCCATCATTGCCCAAATACAGAAGCCTAACAAAAACATCACAAGAAAAACAAAAAGACTGACTTGGGGTGGTAAACACACAATACAATATACAGGTGATGTATTGTAGAATTGTATATTTGAAACTTTATATAATTTTATTCACCAATATCACCCCAATAAATTCAATTTAAGAAGATATAAAAATAAAATAAAAATTAAGCTACACATTTAATGCAAGTCCCTCCCAGAAATGCAAGGGTGATCCAACATATAAAAATCAATCAATATAATGTACTACATAAGTAAAATCTAGGGGGAAAAACATAATTTCAATGCAGAAAAGCATTTCAAATAATTCAACACCCTTTCACGATTAAAAAACACTCAAAAGCTAGAAATTGAAAGAAACTTCCAACACAATAAAGGGTATTCATGAAAAACCCACTGCTGACATCATACTTAAGTGAAAGACGGATGGCCTTTCCTCTAGGGTCAGGAGCAAGCCAAGGAGGCCCATCTTCACCACTTCTATTCAACACAGTGTTGGCAATTCTAACCAGAGCAATTAAGCAGGAAAAGAAATAAAATGCATCCAAATTGAAAAAAGAAGTAAAACTATTTATGTTTTCAGATAATACAATCTTGTGTGTAGAAAATCCAAGACTACATACACACTGACACAACCTGTTAGAAATAAACAAATTCAACAGAGTAGCAGGATACAAATTCAACACACAAAAATCCGTTGTTGCTACACCCTGTCAACGAACAATCTGAAAAGGAAATTAGGAAAACAATGCAATTTATGATAGCATCAAAATGAATTAAATACTTAGAAATACCCAATTCCTGAAAACTACAAAACACTGCTAAAAAAATATTAAAGAAGACTTAAATGGAAAGTTTATAGGTTGGAGGGCTTAAGAGTTATGATGTCAGTGTTACCCAAAGCAATCTATAATCAATACAATCCCTATCAAAATCCTTTTTTGGCAAAACAGAAAAATCCACCTTAAAATTAATATAACATCACAAGGGACCCCAAATAGCCAAAAAAAAATCTTGAAAAAGAACAAAAATTGGAAAATTCACACTTCTTGATTCAAAACTTACTACAAAGGAACAATAATCAAAACAGTATGGTACTGGCAATAGGAATAGACCAACAGACCAACAGGAAAAAAACAGAGCTCAAAAATAAACCCTAATATATATGGTCAAATGATTTTCAGCATGGTTGCCAAGACCATTCAATGGAGGAAAAGACAATCATTTTAATAAATGATGCTGGGCCCTGGCCAGTTTGGCTCAGCGGTTAGAGCGTCGGCCTGCGGTCCGCAGAGACCCGGGTTCGGTTCCCGCTAAGGGCACGTACTTCGGTTGCAGTTTGTCCCCGGCCCTGGTTGGTCGTGCGGGTGGCAGCCACTCGATGTGTCCCTTCACATCGATGTTTCTCTCTCTCTCTCCCTTCCTCTCTCTCCCTCCCACTCTATCTGTACAAAAAATGGAAAAATGTCCTCGGGTGAGGATAAAAAAAAAAAAAAAATAAATAAATAAATAAATGATGCTGGTATAACTGGATATCCACATGCAAAAGAATTAAGTTGGAACCTTAATACTATATACAACTCAAAATGGATCAAGACCTAAATATAAGAGCTAAAGCCATAAAACTCATAGAAGAAAATGGGGAAGCTTCATGATATTGGATTTGGCAATGATTTCTCTGATATGACACCAAAGGCATAGAAAACAAAAGATAAAATAAACAAAATTCGATTTCGTCAGAATGAAAATTTTTTGTGTATCAAAAGGACACTATCAACAGTATAAAGGCAAACAAGGGAATGAGTTATTACTAATATTCAGAATATATAAACATCGATGTGCGAGAGACACATCGACTGGTTGCCACCCACATGACCCCAACCGGGGCCAGGGACAAACTGCAATCAAGGTACGTGCCCCCAGTGGGAACCAAACCCGGGACTCTCTGGTCCACCGGCGGACACTCTAACTGCTGAGCCAAACCAGCCAGGGCTATATTTTAAAAACTCTTAAAACTTAATGGAAAAACAAATAACCCAATTAAAAAATGGACAAAGAACTTAACTAGATATTTCTCCAAAAACATACAAATACTTGATAAACACATGAAAAGATGTTCACCATCAGTAAGCACTAGAAAAATGCAAATCAAAACCACAATGAGATACTACTTTACACCCATTACAGTAACTATTATCAAAAAACAAAAGTGTGCCCTGGCCCGTTAGACTCAGTGGTTGGAGCGTCGGCCTGTGGTACAGAGAGACCCGGGTTCGGTTCCCGCTAAGGGCACGTACCTCGGTTGCAGTTTGTCCCCGGCCCTGGTTGGTCGTGTGGGTGGCAGCCACTTGATGTGTCCCTTCACATCGATGTTTCTCTCTCTCTCTCTCTCTTCTTCTCTCTCTCTCCCACTCTACCTGAACAAAAAATGGAAAAATGTCCTCGGGTGAGGATAAAAAATAAATAAATAAATATAAGAGAGCACCGGGCTGTGGACTGGTAAGTCGCAGGTTTGATTCCGGTCCAAGGCACATACCTCGGTTGCAATTTGTCCCCGGCTCTAGTTGGGGTTGTGCAGGAGGTAGCCACTCAATGTGTCCCTTTCACATCGATGTTTCTCTCTCTCTCTCTCTCCCACTCTATCTGAACAAAAAATGGAAATATCGCCCTGGCCGGTTTGGCTCAGTGGCTGGAGTGTTGGCCTGCAGACCAGAGCCCCAGGTTCGGTTCCCACTAAGGGCACGTACCTCAGTTGCGGTTCGTCCCTGGCCCTGGTTGGGGTTGTGTGGGTGGCAACCACTTGAAGTGCCTCTCTCACATTGATGTTTCTCTCTATTCCTCCCTCTCTCCCTCCCGCTCTATCTCAAGATAAATGCAAAAATGTCCTCAGGTGAGGATAATAAAAAAAAAAAAATGTGGAAGCAACCCAGTGTCCGTCGAATGATGAATGGATAAACAAATGTGGTATGTCTATGCAACAGAATATTATTCAGCCTGAAAGGGGAAGGAAATTCTGACACATGCTTCACCCTGAATGAACCGCAAAGACATTGGGAAGTCACTGTTCAATGGTTAGGGAGTTTCAGTTTGGGAAGATGAAAAAAGTTCTAAAGATGGATGGTGGTGAGAGTTGCCCAATAACATGGTTATGATGATATTTTCATTTTACATAGATTTTCCAATTTTTTTTTTGTACGTGACCCTAGCAGGAACCGAACCCGGGACTCTCTGGTCCGCAGGCTGACGCTCCAACCGCTGAGCCAAACCGGCCAGGGCAGATTTTACAATTTTAAACAATGTTTTAAAAAAGGACACAGAAAGGGTTCCCACTGGCCAAATTTGTGAAAATTTAAGAATCCAAAATAATGATTGTTGATTTTATTTTTAATTTTTATCCTCACCCAAGGACATTTTCCATTTTTTGTTCAGGCAGAGTGGGAGGGAGAGAAAGGAACAGAGAGAGAGAGAGAAACATCGACGTTAAAGGGACACATCGAGTGGCTGCCACTTGCACAACCAACCAGGGCCGGTGACAAACTGCAACCGAGGTACGAGCCCTTAGCAGGAACCGAACCCAGGTCTCTCTGGACCGCAGGCCGACGCTCTAACCACTGAGCAAACCGGCCAGGGCTGATTGTTGATTTTAATAGAAATTAAAATGACATCAAGTTAAATGATACCATAAGAAAGGAACTTGATAGCCCTGGCCGGTTTGGCTCAGCGGTTAGAGCGTCGGCCCGTGGTCCAGAGAAAGGAACTTGATAAATCAAAACAAAAAAGAAAAGAAAAGAAAAGGAACATTTATAAGACAAAAACCAGTATCACAAAAAAGGAAAGTTAGGAAAAAAGAAATCTGAAAATTCATGAGCCAAAAGTGACAATGGGTCAACTCCTATCCCAGCTTCAGACTTGTGAATTGACGTGAAAGAATTAAGTAATTATTCTATCTTTCCGGTAGAAAACTGTTATTTCAAAATCTCCAAATGATTCTAGTTGTTTAAGAAAATTTCTACTTTATAGCAGAATACAAACTAATAAAGGTAGAAGGAATGGTGGAATTAAAAAAGCATTATTTTACAGCACCTTAATGAAACTTTTGATTGAGGAAAAATTAATATTTGGTTGAAACCAATAAAGTGAATCTTGGTGGGAAACTGGGACATTTGGATGCATCCAAGGTAACAGCATACAGATTACTTTCTGACTGCAAGGCTAAAGGTAAGCTTGAATAGAGAGATGGATCATTAGACTTTTTGATACCTCAATCCAAGGGCCAAGCCTCGTGTCACCGAATGTGAACCAGTTGAGCCTCCAGATGTAATGCATGATAAAGCTTAATGTGCCTATGAGACATTCTTACCAAAATCCAATTAAGCTTAAGATCTAACTCTAGCCCCTAGCCAGTTTTGCTCAGTGGTTAGTGTTGGGCTGAGGACCAAAGAATATCAGGTTCAGTTTGGATCAAGGGCACATACCTGGTTTGTAGGTTCGCTCCCCTGCTCTGGTCGGGGTATGTGTAGGAGGCAATCAGGCGATGTGGCTCTCTCATGTCGATATTTCTCTCTCACCTTCCCCACTCTCTCCAGCTCTCTCTAAAACAAACAAACAAAAAAATAGAGGTAATACAGGAGACAGAATATCGAGCTAAATGATATCATGTGAAAGAAATCTGGTAAATCCAGAAAAAAAAAACATTATATAAGGTAACAATCAGGATCATGAAAAAAGGAAAAGTTACTCAGGAAAAAAAGAAAACTATTCTAATTTCAAAGAGACCCAAAGGACCTAATAACCAGATGCAGTGTGTGGTCTTAAATTGGATCCTGGTTTGAACTTATCAACAAAAAACATTTTAGGGACAACTAGGGGAATTTGAATAAGAATTAAGAATTGCAATATTGCCTGGCCAGTTTGGCTCAGAGGCAGAGTGTCGGCCCCATGGATCAATGAGTGGCAGGTTCAATTCCGACCAAGAACACGTACCTTGGTTGTGTTCGTCCAGCCCTGGTTGGGGTCCTGCATGAGGCAACCAGTTGATATGTCCCTCTCATGTTGATGTTTCTCTTTCTCTCCCTCTCTCTTTCTCCCACTCTATCTAAAGATAAATAGAAAAATATCCTCGGGTGGGAATTAAAAAAAAAAAAAAATTGCTATATTGCCCTGGTGGGTTTGGCTCAGTGGTTGGGAGCATCAGCCCAATTGGAGCGTCGACCTGCAGACCAATGAGTCGAGGGTTTGATTCCAGTCAAGGGCATGTAGCTCGGTTGCGGTTCATCCCTGGTCCCCAGCCCTGGTCGGGGTTGTGAGGGAGATAACCAGTCGATGTTTCTCTCTCTCTCTCTCCCTCTCCTCCATTCTGAGGATAAACGGAAAAATATCCTTGGGTGTAGATTATAAAAAAAAAGATTTGCCCTGGCCGGTTTGGCTCAGCAGTTAGAGCGTTGGCCTGTGGTCCAGAGAGACCCGGGTTTGGTTCCCGCTAAGGGCGCGAACCCTAAGGGCCGCTCAGTTGCAGTTTGTCCCTGGCCCTGGTTGGTCGTGCAGGTGGCAGCCACTTGATGTGTCCCTTTCACGTCAATGTTTCTCTCTCTCTCTCTGTTCCTTTCTCTCCCTCCCACTCTACCTGAACAAAAAATGGAAAAATGTCCTTGGGTGAGGAAAAAAAAAAAGAATTGCAATGTTATTAAGAGATGAATTAGTATTAATCTTTATTTATTTAATCCTCATCCGAGGATATTTTCACATTTATCGTATGATAGAGTGGGAGGGAGGGAGGGAGAGAGAGAAATATCATGTCAGAAAGACACACTGAATGGTTGCTTCCCGCACGACTCTAACCAGGGCCCGGGACGAAATGCATCCGAGGTACTTGTCCTTGACTGGAATTGAACCTGTGACTCATTGGTCTGCCGACCGACGCTCTAACCACTGAGCCAAACTGGCCAGGGCAAGAGATTACCTAGTATTAATCTTGATAGATTTGATAATGTTTTGACTATGGAGAGAGAAATAAAATTTTAAGCCCCACAAGTGTTGGGGAGATCCTGTTTTATTCACCACTCTATGCTCAGCAACTAACTTAAGTAGACCCCAGATATAACAGGCCCCAGATAAATGCCTATTGGATGGGTATTTCTGGGGTGCTCATCCCCCTTTCCCTCCCTCTCAGTTACAGCCCTATCTTCCTGATCCTTCACAGGCAAACATCTTGGAAAATGTCTAAACTCACCTTTACCACTTCCTCATCCATTATTCCCTCAAATTCACTCTGGTCCCCATCACTTCACAGAACCAACCTGCATTTAAGGTCACTGAAGACCTCTATGTCACTAAGTCCAAAACCTTGTCAGACTCCTCTCTGCTTGACCTCTCAGGAGCTTCTGAAACTACTGGTCACACTCTTCTTGAAATGTTTCCTTCCCTTGGCCTCAGGAACACCTTGACACACTTGCCTAGTTTTCTCCTTCCCTTCTGTCTGGCCCTCCTCCTCCTTAGTCTTCTTTGCAGGTTTCCTGGTTCTGCTCTGGGTACCTTTCTCATGCTAATGATCCATTTCAGTTTATATTCCAATTATTCTTAAAACAATAGCTCCAGGGCAGATCGCTCCAGAATCTGCCAGCTGTCTAAGGCTCTGTCCATTTGGATGACCACAGGCACTTTGGACTAGTCCAAAACTCCTGATCTTCCTTACCCACTTCCGAGTCACCCCCAGGGAGGAAAAAAGCAACAACTTAATCCTGTTCTTCTTCTCATCCTTTCCTCTCAGAAAAAGTCACCACTATTCTCACCCAATTTTGCAAACCAGAAATCTGTTAAAATCTTCTTGGATGACTCCCTCACCACCTAGACCCAAGTAATTACTAATTCTTGTGGCGTCCACCTCCAAAACACATCCAGGATCTCCATCTCCACTGTCACCTCTAGTTGGGCCGCCATTTTCATTTCCACTTGGATTATCACAATAGCTTTCTAACTATACTGCCTCGAATTCTGCCCACAACTGTTAAGAGAACTCGTTAAAAAAATAAAAATCGAGCCCTTGGCGGCATTGCTCAGTGGTCAGAGCATGGGCCCACGAACCAAAGGGTTTTGGGTCTGTTCCCCAGCTCCACTGGAGCTCATGAGGGAGGCAACTAATCGCCATGTCTCTCACATGGACATTTCTCTCTCTCCCTCCCTTCCACTCTCTCTAAGAAAGATCAGTGGGGAAAAAATATTCCGGAGTGAGAATTAACAAAGACACAAAACAACAACAAAAAACACACACAAATTTAGGTTGAAAAAAAATGCAAATCTATTATGACTGATCATAGTTAAACTCATTAATGGCTTCCTAATGGTCTTGCAATAACTCACTCAAGTCCTGCATGACCTTGATGCTGGAATCCCTGCCTTCCATCCCATTGGGCCACTCTCCCATCACTCTCTTGTCCTGGTCTCATACTCCATCTTTCACTTCCTTCTAGGTGGGGGCATGCTGTCTCTGGTCTCAGAACCTGCAAACGCTTCACCTAAACAGTTCTCAGTCCCAGAGCAAATCTGGTCTTCTCTCAGTCCTAAACCAGATCAAACATTTCTTCTATTTGCTCCTCTGCCCCCTGTACTTCTCCAACACAATTTGCAACTTCCAAATCATTCCGTACTTTATTAATAAAATGGTATAACGTCTCATGGAAAACTCACATGTATTCCCATGGTTTGGCAAAGGCCTGCCACTTTGTAGGGTTCTAATAAATATTTAATTTTTCCTCCCTGCATGTGCTCCACTGACTTCCTAACTTTGCCTTCTTTCCTCAGTACTCAGTCCCTCTCCTGGAAGCTACCTGGAACCTTTCTACCACCAGCGCCATGAATATTAATTTAATAAACGACACGTGGTTTTTTGTTTTTTTTCTTTGTATGCGGTATAATGTTCATGTTGCAGGAACACTGCATTTTTTTTCAATTAACAGTTTACATTCAGTGTAACAAACAGCACAGGAGCTAGCATCCTCCCAACCTCATCCCTCGAACTTCTAGAGCTCCAGCCTCGCACACTCCTCCAGCCTCCCTTCCCGCGGCCCCACGCCCTGCCCTGGGGCTGACGCCCGACCCACCTCTGCGAGCTGAGCTGCCCGCCACTGGCTCAGCACCTCGTCCTCACGCTCCATCTCAGCCTGGGATCCGCTGCACCTCGGAGCTGTGTGCGGGTCCAGACCACATCGGAGCAGAGCTGAGCCCCGCTGCCTTGGCGTCGCAGGTCGGGTGTCGCGCACCTTCACGCCACAATCCCCGCGCTCCACTTCTACTTCCCGCCGCGCTGGGGGCGGGGCCAAGGGCCACACCCACCGCCGCCCCGCCCCGCCCCGCCTTCCCCGACGCTGCAGGTCCAAGACTTCAGACCTTCATCACTTCTTACATCTTAAATCTGACCCTCCCACCTCCCCATCCACCCTTCAGTCCGAGTATCTCTCTTTGGCCCAAATGGGACTGGGGACACTGAGATTTCAGACTCCGGTCTGGTCTTGTTGACCTCTGAATGGAGAAACCCGGAAGGAGGCTGGAGAGAGGGGCAGATCTGGCTGTAGGGCTCCTGCAGACAGGAGAGCCTCCACCACCACCCAACAGGTCAGGGCTCTGGCCATAAGCTCCCAGAGGCCTGGATCTTCTCCGCCAGGTACTGCTGCCCCACCAGCGTACAAACCCAAACCTGGGAGTTCCGTGGTACAATGTCTTGATTCTGCGATGCACACGGAGTACCTATTAGGTATCAGACACTGCTTTTTGGAACTAGGGATACAGTGGCAAATAAGACGGAACAAAGTCCTTGCTCAAGGAATTTTCATCTCAAATGGACAGACAATAAATGAATATAATAAAGTCAATAGTATACTTTTAGATGGTGGCGATTGCAGTGGAGAAAACATAAAAGAGGAATGTGAGCTGACGTAAGGGCCTAAACAGAGCCATGTATTAGAAGATTGAAGGACTCCGAGGCAAGAAAGAGCTTGGCATGCTAGAGGCAAAGTGGACAACCAGGCGACCTCACTGAAGCGAGCAGTGGGGAGAGAGGAATGACATGAGGACAGAGATGGGCAGGGTCTTTCTAAAAATTATTAAATAGGTTTTTATTGATTTTTTAGAGGGAGAGAGAGAAACATCAATGAGATACAGGGCATGTGCCCTGACCGGGAATCGAACCGGACCTCTCAGTCCATGGGTCAATGCTCAACCCACTTAGCTACACCAGTGGGCAATGGTCAGGGTCTTGAAAGTCATGGACAGTAGTTTGGATGTTGTTCTAAGTGTGATGGGAAGCCACTGAAAGATTTTAAGCAGGAACTTGATGTGATTTAAGTTTTTAAAGTAATCATTGGGCTCCTTTGAGACTTATGGATTATAGGGCATGAGATGGAGGCAGGGACGCCAGTTAGAAAGCAATCCAAGAAAAAGATGTGACTGTTTGGTGGGGTTGATGATTGTAATTAGAGAATATTTTAGAATTACATAGGACAAACTCGGTGATGGGTTGTAGTGCTTAGGGCTAAGAGGAAAAGAGAAATCAAAGATGATCCCTCGATTTTGGGCTTGAGCAACTGAGTGGTGACTGCACCACTTGATATGGAAAAATGAGACGCGGAGCAGATTTCCAAGCAGCTGAAACAAGAATTCCACTTTGGATATGTTGATTTTGAGATGACTATTAAATATGCTCAGGGAGAGGCCAGGACTGTAAATGTAAATTTGGGTGTTGTCAGCATAGACATAGTGGTTATAAGTCAAAGAAAGCCTGGAGACCTCTTACCTTTAAGGCCCAGCAGAGCAGTGAGGTCATCCAAAGAGACTAAAAATCACAGCAAGAGAAGCAGCCCATATTTAAAAGAGAGACTGTTGCCTGGCCAGTGTGGCTCAATAGATTGAGTGTCACCCCATGGACTGAGCACATTCCCGGTCAGGGCACATGCCCAGGTTTCGGGCTCGATTCCTGTCAGGGGGCGTGCAGGATGCAGCCAATGGATGTTTCTCTCTCACGTTGATATTTCTCTCTCTCTCTCTCCCCTCCCCCCAAATCAATAAAAACATAAATAAATAAATAAATAAATAAATAAATAAATGGCTGTTCACCTGCATCAAATGTTGCTAAGAATCAGGTGAGTGCCCATTGGATTTGGCAAGATGGGGTCACTGGGTGACTTTGACAAAGGCCGACCAGAGGAGACAGAAGCAGATGGGGTGGGGAGAAGAGGACAAGCACTGCTGAGATAGAGACACTGAGACACTGTAAAGAACTCTCTCAAGGAAGTTTTGCTATAAATGGGGACAGAGAAATGAAGTGGTAGTTGGAAGGGGAATTAAGGGAAGCTGATGGGAATCAACCAATAAAAAGAAACCAATGCTGAAGCAGAGAGAGGGCTTAATTATAGCAGTGACATTGCTCAGTCAAGAAAGAATAGGATCCAGGATACAAACAGACAAATGAGCCTTTGGTATCACCTCTTGGGGCCATGTCTGACTCCCATTTGATGCCTCTTCTAGTTACTATGCACTTAGTGTGTCTCCCAATGTGGCACTAAGCAAATATTTGTGGAAGGAATCATATTTGACACATGGAGCACATCATTTTTTAAATACTTTGCTCTTCTATATGATAAAATTTTTATAATTCAAATTTCAAATGATCATGAAATGAAATGAAGAATAATAATGGCCAGAATGCCCAGCCGGTGTGGCTCAGTACTTGAGCAACCAAGAGGCTGCTAGCTTGATTCCTGGTCAGGGCACATGCCCAGTCTGTGGGCTGATCCCCAGTGGGGGGCATGTAGGAGGCAGCCAATCAGTGTTCTCTCTCATTAATGTTTAATCACTCTCTCCCTTCCTTTCTGTTTCTAACATCAATAAAGAAAAAAGTTTTTTAAAACGGCCGGAAAAGAAATGTAGATGTCAAAATGTTATTTTACAAATCTTTGTATGTATACTCATGTCAGTAAAATAAATATATACAATTAATATATGGTAAAAAAAAAGTACAACTATTTATTTCAATAATTTTGTTTGAATTTTGATCCTTTCATTATAGACGGATATAATATCTTATGTAAATGATCCTCCAGTAACTAACATGAAATTTATTCACAAAACTGCTCAATTGCACCACTGCTGCTATATTAATTTTCCTGATTCATTTCACTTTGAAACAACTAACAATTTTTTTTTTTATCCTCACCCGAGGACATCCCTCCACTTTTGTTCAGGTAGAGTGGGAGGAAGAGAGAGGAAGAGAGAGAAACATCGACGTGAAAGGGACACATTGAGTGGCCGCCTCCCGCATGACCCCAACCGGAGCAGGGGACAAACTGCAACCGAGGTACATGCCCTTAGCAGGAACTGAACCCAGGTCTCTCTGGACCGCAAGCCGAAGCTCTAACCACTGAGCAAAACCGGCCAGGGCAAACAACTCACAATTTTTAAAGAATAAATTTCCATGTCAAAAGTATAATTCACATTCAGTAAAATATTTTATGTATGAACTAAAATTTGCACTTAACCAAACAAAAATAATTTGTCACTCATTTTGCACTCTGTTTCATTGTTTTAAATTTGAACACAAAACTTCAACTGGTTGTTTTGAATGACAGAATTAAAGTAAGTCAAATTCTATTTCTTTGCCTTTATAATCACTAACTGTAAATCATGGTTGATTATTTTGAAGTTACTGTGTAAACCACAGGTGTTGAAGACATGACCTTGCCTAAAGTGAGCTCCAAACTAGGGTGGCTGAGCTTGTGTGTTTCTGTGACCATTTAACTGGGCATTCTTCAAATTAACTTCCATATAGAATACAATGTTTATGAAAGGGCCTATGATAAAAAATATGCTAATCTAAGCTTACTTATATACTTTTTTTTTTTAACCTTCACCTAAGGATACCTTTCCATTTAGCTTCAGATATAGTGGGAGGGAGGGAGAGAGAGAGAGAGAAACATCAACGTGAGAGGGACACATTGACTGGTTGCCTCCCGCATGACCCGACCAGGGCCAGGGACTGAATTGCAACCGAGGTACGTGCCCTTGACCGGAATCGAACCCGCGACTCATTGGTGTGAGGGCGGACGCTCTAACCACTGTGCCAAACCGGCCAAGGCACTTATATACTTTTTATGTGCTTTTTTCTTTCATTTTACTGAGATATAACTGACATATAACATTATGTTAGTTTCAGGTGCATAACAAAAATGATTTGATATCTATGTATATTGTTAAATGATCACCACAATAAGTCTAGCTAACATTTATCATCAAATGTATTTATAGATTCTTTTCTTGTGATGAGAACTTTAAGATCTACACTCCTAGCGATTTTCTTTTTTTTTTTTTATCCTCTCCCGAGGACATTTTTCCACTTTTTGTTCAGGTAGAGTGGGAGGGAGAGAGAGGAACAGAGAGAGAGAGAGAAACATATGTGTGAAAGGAACACACCGAGTGGCTGCCCCCGCACAACCTACCAGGGCCGGGGACAAACTGCAACCGAGGTACATGCCCTTAGCGGGAACCGAACCCGGGTCTCTCAGGACCGCAGGCCAACATTCTAACCGCTGAGCCAAACCGGCCAGGGCGCAATTTTCAAATATACAATACGGTATTATTATCTATAGTCACTATGTTATACATTATATCCCCAGGACTTATTTATCTTATAACTGGAAGTTTATACCTTTTAACCACCTTAACCCATTTTACTCACCCCCACCTCCCACTCCCACCTCTGACAACCACCAAGCTGTTCTCTGTATTTATAGGTTTAGTGTTGTGTTCTGTTTCCTTTTAGAGTCCACATATAAGTGAGATCATACAGTATGTATCTTTCACTTATTTTACTTAGTATAATGCCATCAAGATCCATCCATGTTGTTGCAAATGGCAAAATTTTTCTTCTTCTTTTTTTAATCTTCACCCGAGGATACCTTTCCATTTATCTTCAGATATAGTGGGAGGGAGGGAGAGAGAGAGAAAGAAACATCAACGTGAGAGGGACACATTGACTGGTTGCCTCTCGCATGACCGCGACCAGGGCCAGGGACTAACCACAACCGAGGCACGTGCCCTTGGCAGGAATTGAACCTGTAACTCTTTGGTCTGTGCTCTGAAGCCAAACAAGCCAGGGTAAGATTTTCTT